ACCCTAGCATATCAGAGACAGAAGGTGCTGAGATGAGTTTCCTGCATAGTGTGGCTCTATTACAGCTAGGAAAGAGGACATGGAGAAAGAAGGAAGGAACCATTGATAATGAAGTATCTTTCCCATGACCATTAATGAAGTCCAAAGAGGTTCCATTTGAATCTTCACAAATCTTCAGGTCTGGAAATTTCTTTCCTCTCCTCTCCTGGAATATTTTTCTTGATAGATTGAATTGTTTGGGAATGAGAAATCAGAAAATCGTTTTTTCCTTTGGTACTGTAAATCTTTTGTTTTTGGTCTAAGATGAACAAGTAAATCAATGGAAAAATTGTGTTTTTAGTTGGTGTGTGTTGATGATTTAAGTTGGGTGTGTAGGATGACTATGGGTGCTCTGTTTTTGGGTTGCTTTTGGGTGGTTTTGCTCTGTTCTGACGTTAGTTTAGGGGCAAAGGAAGGAAAAGATGAAGGTTAGTCTGGGTAGAAACCCTTAGCACGAAATGGAATATTGTGTTGTCAATCAGGCCATGATAGTTGTCAATGTGTGCCGCGACAGTTGTCAACATAACTCCTTGACTTGTCAACGACAGTTGCGTGATTCTTGATGCAGATTTAAATTACTGATGGCGAGTATGCCTGGAAAGCATCTATTGTACTTTGTTCATATAGGAGGAAAGTTTATAAATGATGAAGAAGATGATATATGTGGGAGGTAGTGTAAGAACAACAACTATAAAAGAGGGAACAAGTTATGAAGAATTGAAGGAAATTATATCATCAATTGTTAGAAAAGAAAGTAACTCATTTCTTTTGAAATTCTTAGTTGTGTTTGATAAAAAAATATTTGTAGAGTTGGTAGATGATGATGAGGTAGAAAATTTGACAAAATTCAATGAAGAAAGTGGTCATGTGTGTATAGAAGAGAATGGAAATAAGGACCACATAAAAGCAACAAGGGATAATGTAATGGAGGAGCAAGATGTGTAAGTTTAGTTTAACAAAACCGTTATTATCAATATCAGTTGTTACTGTCTTGCTACTAACTTGTCAATGCATGCACCCTGACTTGTCATTTCTTGCAGGATTGATCAATCATTTGGAGGTATTAATGGATTGTCTTTGTCTCTACCTACCTTATTTGATGAGATTGGAGAGCCATCATCAATTTTTTATGCTGTTGAAATGATCCCAACACCTACACCACAAATGAATTCCATAAAATGGAAGGATTTGATTATTGGAGAAGGACAAATATTTCCAAATGCCATTGCCCTCCCAAAAACACTATACGGATGTGAAGGGAATATTTTATAAATGAGTGTGAAGGGAATTTTTTGTGAATGGATACACACTAATAGTTAGTTTCGTAATTATATGCAACCCCTATGTTTTTTTTTTTGGGATGAGTTGTGAAACAGGTGTAGTTTTGTGTATATGAAGGTGTAAATGAAAGTTGGCTATGAATTAACATGTTAGATTCTGCTGTCATTTTAGTTGTCATTACCTGCACCCTGTATTGTCATTAGACCTGTTATGACTTGTCAATAGAGCACTATGACTTGTCAATTAATTTGCTGATATAAGTTGTCAACAATATGAATTCAAGTTACTTAACTTGTTTTAGTATCATATGATATTTTCAATCACTTTATCATATTATATTTTGGTTATATTGTCATATATAATCATTATTAATGAAGTGTCAATGGTGACACTATGACTTGTCAATGGTCGCACTGTGACTTGTCAATGGTAGCACTATGACTTGTCAATAGTGGCACTATGACTTATCAATGGTGGCATACTGACTTGTCAATGGTAACACTATGACTTGTTGTTCACCGAATAACTTCTTAAAAGGGTTGGGTGTTGCAACGGATATGATCAGGAGTCGCGGCGCCTTACACAGAATGATAGCTCCTTGGGATAGATGGGAGAGCCGTGGTGGATGTAGTCAAACGCGACGGCGAATTATCAGTTGTCAATGGTGGCACATTGACTTGTTAATGGTGGCACATTGATTTGCCAATAGTGGCACTATGACTTGTCAATGGTGGCACACTGACTTGTCAATAGTGACACTATGACCTGCCAATGGAGCACTGTGACTTGTTAATGAAGGCACTGTTCCTTATCAATTGAATATAAATTTGAGTAATACCTTCTTCTTAATAATTATATTTTAATACAAATATTACTTAATATTATAAGTAAATGACACCTTTGGTTGTAAAAATTTTGAATATCAATTGTTAATATCCACACATTCATTTGTTATGAAATTGTTATATCACTTGTCATTAACTCCGTTATATTAATTATTATTACTCATGTTGTTAATTTCTATGTTGAGTGCTGTTGAGATATACACAATTGAGAATTTCAAAAGAAATGAGTTACTTTCTTTTCCAGCAATTGATGATATAATTTTTTTCAATTCTTCATAACTTGTGCCCTCCTTTATATTTGTTGTTCTTACACTACCTCCCACATATCTCATATCATCCTCTCCATCATTTATAAACTTGTTCCCTATGTGAACAAAGCAAAATAGATGCTTTCCAGACATACTCGCCATCAGTAATTTAAACCTGTATCAAGAATCACGCAACTGTCATTGACAAGTCAAGGAGCTACGTTAACAACTGTCGCGGCCTGATTAACAACACAATATCCCATTTCGTGTTGAGGGTTTCTACCCAGACTAACCTTCATCTTTTTCTTCCTTTGCCCCAAACTAACATCAGAACAGAGCAAAACCACCCACAAGCAACCCAAAAACAGAGCACTCATGGTCATCCTACACACCCAACTTAAATCATCAACACACACCAACTAAAAACATAGTTTTGTCATTGATTTACTTTGTTCATCTTAGACCAAAAATAAAAGCTTTACAGTACCAAAGGCAAAAACGATTTTCTGATTTCTTATTCCCAAACACAATCAATCTATCAAGAAAAATATTCCAGGAGAGGAGAGGAAAGAAATTTCCAGACCTGAAGATTTGTGAAGATTCAAATAGAACCTCTTTGGACTTCACTAATGGTAATGGGGAAGATACTTCATTATCAATTGCTCCTTCCTTCTTTCTCCATGTCCTCTCTCCCAACCGTAACAAAGCCATACTATGCGGGAAACTCATCTCAGCACCTTCTGTCTCTGATATGCTAGGGCAAGGAAGTCATTTTATCTTTCTGAAAATGGCAGCCAAGTCCCTTTGGGATTTCAGAAGAATTATCACATTTCAGGGACCTTTTTGCTGTATATTTGCTTGTGTGAGACCTTAATGTCATTTTCCCAAAAAACATCCTTATATTTTGCATAACTGGCTCTAAACAACCAAGAGAGCTAATTGAAAGCTTTTAAGAAGTCCACTTTTAAAGCTGCAATTTCCTTCTCCCATTTTTGGCTGGATGAATGAGTGAGCAAGTCCATAGTAAGCAAGAGATTGCCTCTGATCAATTTTCCTTTCAAGAAAGCACTCTAATTTGACACGATGTGAGGCTAGAGGAACTTTTATTCCATAGCAGAGTACCTTGTTGCAAAGACTTGTTGGTTTGAATCTCTTAGGATTTGTGGTCTATTTGATTAATGGTCTTGCTTAAGGAGCTTAATAAGTGTTCCAATCCCTCGAGTGACTATCTTTACATGGCCACTTTGAATCAGATTACATTGTTTTTGAAAAAAGGAGGCATGGAAGCCATCTGGGCTGGAACACTATTCTTAGGAGATTAAAGACTGCTTGCTTGATTTCTTCTATTGCAAGGGGCTACATGAGGTGATCAATATCATTATGAGAAAGTGAAAGAATGGGCAGTCTTGAGAGATCATTAAGTATTTTGCCTAGCTCGGGAGAGTTTACAGAATGATGAATATCCAAAAAGTAGTTAAATGTCATGTTCAAACACACACACACACACCCATATGTGCGGGCGCGCGCGTCCTTTTTAAATATTTTAAAGTATATATAGAATATATACAAGAAATGAATATTATTATTTATATTTTATTATTCGCACGTAACAGTTGTTTTTGACTAACTTATAATATGCAAATGATACCATATGTTATGAATTTTATTTAGGGAAAATCCCAGAAAAAGCCCTTGGAATATGCCAAATCCCAGATTGGGCCCTTAAATTTCGAAAATGACAGATTGGGTCATTGACCCAATCTGTCATTTGTGAAATTCAGGAGAATTGACATTTTTGCCCCTGAGCAAAAGTGAGTAGTTATTCTCTAAACAAATCTAGGTAACGCTTACACTGTTCTAGTGATTACAAGATTCGTTGTAGTTAATAATAAGGTACCTGACAATAATAAGATACTTGACTATGAAAAAATGAGTAGTTATTCTCTATACAAATCTAGGTAATGCTTACATTGTTCTAGTGATTACAACATTAGTTGTAGTTAATAACAAGACACCTGACTATGAAAAAGTGAATAGTTATTCGCTATATGAATCTAGGTAACACCTAAACTATTATAGTGATTCCTTGAATCATTGTAGTGAATGAATAAATGAGGGCAAAATTGTCAATTCACCTGAATTTCACAAATGACAGATTGGGTCAATGACCCATTCTGTCATTTTCGAAATTTAAGGACCGAATCTGGTATTTCCTATATTCCAAGGACCTTTTTTGGGATTTTCCCTTTTATTTATATATATATATATATATCTATTTTTGACCTGAAATTTTATTTTATATATTTGATATCTATAATTTTGTGAATAGTATGATATGTTACAAATTTTATTAGGTACATTGATAGTTATAATGGTATGTGAATAATATTCATAACATATATTTATTTTAGGCTAAAATTGATTTTTATTACTTAGCATAGATATCTGTCAAATTTGGTTAAAAAAAAAAAAGAAGATCGGTCAAACTATTCGGAGACAAGTTCTTGACTACGAGTCGAGGACTCAACGGCCAGCGCTACAATCCTAGTTCTAGCTGAAGATTTGAGTTGAGAACTGAACATTTCTCTGGGCACTCTGCTGATTGCTTTTACACTTTGAAAATAATACAAATCCATATTTACAATATATAACCACAAGGCTCTGCCATTTCTCAATTTCTTCTTCTTCTTCAAGTTTAAAAAGCTTCAATTTAGCAGATCTTAGACTCATCAAGTGTTCATGAAAAATGGCGGGTCGGTTCGGCTTTGCTTCCTCCACTTCGACATCCATGATCGTCACCAACACGCCTTTGCAGGACCTCACCCTCACTAAACTTGCCTTCTGCTCCCCTTCTGATCTTCAGAAGTTCGCTGTCTCTGGTTATAGAAACGTCTTCCTGGCTTTGGTTGGCGATTCCTTTGTCTTTTCTCTCGCATATCCTTTTCGATTTTGCAGAAATTCCATAACAGTTTTACGTCTTCCATTATTTATTGGCTGCTAACTGAAAATTGGGTCGAATAACTAGGCCTAGCATCAATTTTTATAATGCCAGTGTGAGTTTAAATTGGATGTTTACTTTGTTTAATGGGTTTGTGAATTAGTTCTCAATAAACTTCTTTGTGGCCTTAACTGATTTATACTGCTCATGAGAGCATACGTAATGGCCATATAGCACTTAACTCCATTCAACGTCGGTGTGTCAAAGTTTCTGCTGCTGAATCCATATCTGTGTGCAGTATAAATCAGTTTCTGCTGCTCAGTTTTTCAGTTTCTGATCTATCCTATGATTTTAGATTCATCCCACCAGACAACTTCAACCTTGCGGTGTTAACACTTGAGCTGGACTTCATTAAAAAGGGCAGCAGAAGTGAACAAGTACATATTTTAATAATTCATTGTTGAAGGTACCGTTTTTATTCTATCAGCTTTATCATTATCATTCTGATGCTGTGTTTTGTAGATTGATGCTGTTCTCCTGTCCAAGCAACTTAAAAAGAGATTTATAAACCAGGTGGCATCTTTTAGCAGGTTAATTATGCCTGTTAGTTGGCTAGCTTTGGTGACTTGGTCAGTGGCTTAGTTATCATTTATTGATTACCGATCAAACAAATTGGTGTTATATATGCATTTTAGTTGTTAAACTTGTATATGGTTGCTGGATGACAGGCTTATTTATATATACATGCATAGGGAAAATACAAGAAAACAAATGCTACCCGAAGTTAGAGAATATTTACAATAAAACAAAGATATTCCTCCACTTCTCCCAAGTTGGATAATAGATAATGATCATTTCCAACTTGCTTACGCATTCATTAAAATTCTCTCTTCAAAGTTCCTTGGTGAGTACATTAGCAGCTTGCTTCTTCGATAGAACATATACTGGACACACTGCTCCACTTTTGAATTCTTTTCCTTGATGAAATGTGTATTCACTTCAACAAGTTTTGTTCTATCAAGTTGAAATGGAGAATGAGATATGCTTATGGCTTACCTTACTATTAGAATAGAGCTTAATAGGCAATTCCACACCAATATGCAGTACTTTGAGAAGTACTTGTAACTAGGATGTGATAGGGTTCTGAAGGATGAACTGGACAGTTCTAATAAAATTTCATTCTTGAACAAAAATCCATTTATTGATTTATTTCATCTATTCCATGACTGGAACAAGGGGATACACGTAACACCACAATTTTGAATCAATAGAGAGATTTTAGGAAATGGCGAATCTATTCACTCTATCAATAACCAAGCCAGATTTGGTGTATCATAAGGGATGTGTATTTTCTATTGATTCCTCTGGATTGGAACAAAATCAATTTTTGAATGAGACCACAAGCCTCAGATTTCATGGGTTACTGTTTTAAACTCAGCTTTTACCACACTCCAGACAGCATATTCTCTTTCTTGCTCCTCTGACTCCGAGTACTAGGTTGCCTCAACCTAAGGTACAATACCGTGAACTTGAGAGGGAAAATTCCTTTTTCTTATTTCTAAATGGCACATTACATCTCAGTATATACACCAAGAGGGAGACAAGGTAATAAAATCTCTAATGATTTCTAATAAAACTAAGAAATACTAACATAAAACCGAATAATAAATGATAGCATATTCGCACACTCCCCCTCAAGCTGGATCATGGATATTGATCATGTTCATTTTGCTTATACTGTCATCAACAGTGTCTCTTAGAAGTCCCTTGGTAAGGAAATATGCAACTTGCTTCTTTGATGGAACATATTTTAAGCACACTATCCCACAACCCAGATGTACATTTGTAACTTGCTACATTGGGTTGTTCACTTCTTTTGAAGAATAATCCCTTTCTTGGGGTTCCTTTTAAGCATCTCAAAATCCTGTAAATAGTGCCAATGGCTTTGTAGCCTAGTGGCATGAAACTTCCCTGTAAGTGGAAGGTCGCAGGTTTTGTTTTGCTTGTAATTTTAAGCTATTAGTGCTTGCCCCTTTAAATTAAAGAATAAAAATTTTGTATACATCTCGTAGGTGGAATTCCTGATTTCATTGTTGATTTACCCTATTAATCTCTCCTATATGTATCGACTTGCTTAAAGGAACAAAATTGAGACTAAGTCGTCAATTGCTTTGCTAATTTCTTCACTTATCTTATGTTTTGAAGACCAAACTATCATGAGGCAACAGTAAATGCAAGCTTAAGCCATTGAGTTTCATAAATACATTCCTATCCTGAGATGGATATACCTATTTGAGGCCAAGTGCTATCTTGATGCATCCAATCTTTTGAATTTCCAGCTTAGATCTTCGATTCTTGGAGCATCCTTTTCTAACCTTTATACTTGATTTGTCCTTGAGCAAAGCATGATGTTGATGTTCCATTCGCTTCACTTCAATGCTCAATCTTCCTTTCTTGGACAAATCTATATTGAAGATATTGACTTACAAGCCAAGTAGTCATTCCATTTTACATTTTACATTTATCAATATGCTTGACATGATGGCGTGCAGTACAATACAAAAAATGGTTTACCATGCTTGTGGAATTCTTACAACTTATATATCCAATTTATATGCATATAACAATTAGAATGAGTTGGATATATGATAAATTAAATAACATGACTTAGAGAGAAATATGATTCAATTAAGCACATATTAAAGTTTTATATAATGAATAAATTCCTCTTGTGATCATTGTATCTACGAAACATTAAACATGAAATATCAAAATGGTGATATATTTGTTCCACATTTATTATTCCATACCAATACAATTGAACAACATAATTGAAACTCATTTAAAAAACTTTTTTCCCAAGTTATTAATATTATTAACTCGTTTCCTATTTGTCATTATCAAAACTTATATTAAGATCATTTGGTCTAACAACTGTATCAGTCCTTTTTCATTTAATTGTTATGGCTCATTTGTTTTAGTTTTGGAATGTGGATCTTATTAATTGCAGGTTATGACAGCTGGGCAGAAAGTATTATTTGAGTACCATGGAAATAATTATAACTTTACGGTCAGTCAAGCTGTTGTTGAGGACCAAGAGAAGCAGACTTCTCTTGAACGAGGGATGATTTCCGATGACACATACATTATTTTTGAAGCATCACGTGACAGTGGAATTAAGGCAAATTTACCATCTGCAATTGACACATTATTTTTTTTTTCACATTGTTTATCTAATTTATTCTTACTGCTTATAAATTGTAGTTTCCCTTTTCTTCCCCCTCCCCCCCGGTCATTAAGTGTAATATGATGAATTTATGGACTCCTTTCCTGCCAGAATGGCCATGCCAAAAACTTTTTAGTAATGTCTTCGTGCCATTAGAAAGAAAAATCTACTTATTTAGTATTGATAATTGTTATAATGCATTCTTTCTCAAAGAACTTGATTATCTAGTTTGCAAGTAGTACATGGTTGAAGTGTTGAAACATGAATGATGCCTAAAATTTTAGGCATTTATTTTACTTAAATCGTTATTTTTCCTTTCCCTTACCATCAGTTTGTAAAAATGCATGATTCAGATGAAATATTAGGCTATACTTTGCTAAGAAAATAATGACAGTTGAGGCATTTATTTTCTTCTTAATTGCACCATACTGATTATAGTTATATTTGGACAAGTTTCTTGATTCATACCATGATTCATACCATGTTTTGCAGATTGTCAATCAGCGTGAGGCTGCCACTAGCAACATTTTTAAGCAGAAGGAGTTTGATCTTCAGTCTCTGGGTATTGGAGGTCTGAGTGCTGAGTTTGCAGATATATTTCGAAGAGCTTTTGCTTCTCGTGTTTTCCCTCCTTATGTGACATCCAAGTAATATCATAACTCACCTAATCTTCTGGCTTATGATATTCTGTGTTCTGATTCCTAAAAGTATTTGAGGTTTCAGGCTAGGGATCAAGCATGTGAAGGGAATGCTGCTTTCTGGGCCTCCTGGTACCGGAAAAACTCTAATGGCACGTCAACTAGGAAAAATTTTGAATGGCAAGGAGCCAAAGGTTTGTAAATTTGTTAAAATAAACCTGGAGATTTTGAAGTTGCATCATATACTTGTGTATCTATAAAAATCCATCATGTGTGCTATCAACATGTGTGCTATCAAAAATAAACCATAAGTGGGCTAGTGATTACATTGCTTAGCTTTTCATTTGGTATCTTTTAATCTCTTTATTATTTATCAAAGTGTGCGCTCAATTTTAGTTTTTAGGTTTTGACTGCTTATTATTGTTTTTATTTTCTTTCTTTCTTTGTTTTTTTTTTTGGGGTAAGATTGTTGTTGATTTTAAATCTATGCTTGATATGAAAATATCTGATCACTTCTTTTCTGAGGTTCTATGACCCTTTGATTTAATCAAGAGAGTAATGTTTCCACCCTTTTGCTTCCCTAAAACATCTGAATTCTTACTATGATTGAGAATAGGTTCTCCTGTAAATGTTGTTGAAGGTGAATCACATGAGTAATGACTGACTTTCTAGCCCCTCCCCCTTCTTTTGGTGATCGACTGAATTTCTACTTGTGTCTCAAGTGTTGATACTGTCTTCACTTTTCCCCTCAATTCCTAATTGACATGTTTGATTAATGTTTAAATCTTGAAACATTTAAATTGCCATTTCACTTTATTATTGTTGGTTGATATTATTTTTTGAGGCTGATGGAACTACTTCTTTTTTGGTGTGACTTGTGGCTGTACTAGATTGTCAATGGCCCTAAGGTCTTGAGCAAATTTGTTGGTGAAACTGAAAAGAATGTGAGGGACCTCTTTGCTGATGCTGAACAAGATCAGAGGACCAAGGGTAAGGACTTTCTACACATTACATATACCTATAAGGAGTTATTTGTAATCATCATTGATCCAGGGAACCTTTATTTAATTTGTCGGGTATGAAAGTGATTTGCATGTCATCATTTTTGATGAAATTGATGCTATTTGTAAGGTAATTTTGTTTTTTAACATTTTAAATCAATGACATTTATGTTTTTTGATTCATATTGTTGGTGTTGTCAATTTTTTGTTTCTCCCCAATACGTAGTATATGTGAGCTAGTCTTGTGCAATGGAATTCTTATATTTTAACTGTGGTGAAGCTATTCTGTATTGTTATCAATGTTTTGTTAGTTAGTAATGTGCTTGACAAGAGAAAAGACTTTGATTCATTGGCTTGGCCGCTCTGCATTTGCTTGAGTTGTAATGCTGGGAACATGATTGTAACATTTTGATTTGGGACATTAAAAGTTTTGCATTTTGTTCTGACTTGTTTTGATGTTATGTTGTGATTCAATTGTTTGATACGATAAATAAGTATCCATTTCTTCTGCAGTCAAGTGGTTCAACTAGGGATGGTACCGGAGTTCATGATAGTATCGTGAATCAACTTCTTACTAAGGTCAGTAAAGATCTTGAATGTTTTCCTAATAATTTAAAATAATTGAATTGTCAAAATTTTTCATTCATAGTTATCAATACATTTAATAAATATTTTTCTTTGTTTTCAGATAGATGGTGTGGAATCACTGAATAATGTTTTGCTTATTGGAATGACCAACAGAAAAGACATGCTTGATAAAGCTCTTTTAAGGTCATTCTCAGAGCAGAGGGCAATGAATATGTATCTTGTAATATTCAAAGGCATCAGTATAACAATATATACAAGTTTCCTAATAAATACGAGGGAACTTAAATTTGTAGGTCTTTATAGTTTTATCTCCTTTTTTTTTTTCATAGATACAAGGGAAAATTAATTTGTAGGTCCCTGTAGTTTCATCCTTTTTCAATCACGTCCTTGCAAATTTTTTTTTTGCCCCTTTTTTGACGGTCCTTGTAGCTTCACCTGTTTTTACTTATGTCCTTATATATATAAATATATATATTTATTAGGTCTGTGTAGTTCCTTTTCTCTTTATTAGGTCCCTGTAATTTTTTCATTTGGTCTGTATAGTTTCACTTGTTTTTAATTAGGTCCTCATATTTTAAGTGACAGATAAAAGGGAAAAAAAACTACAAGGAGCTGATTAAAAACGTGAAACTGTGAGGACCTAATAACCTGATTAAAAACTGATGAAATTATAAGGACCTTATTTTTAGAGAGAGAGAGAGAGAGAGACTATAGGGACCTGATTAAAATCAGGTGAACCCATAGAGACATGCAGATTAATTTTGTTTGTGTTGTTATTGTTTTATGCTAGCATTCCATTCATTTTGCTCGTGTTGCCATTGGAACTGGATCACAATTGCCCCAACCTTTGATGTCGTGTTTGTTGACAAGTTCTTCATTTTCTCCATGCAACTTCTTAATCTGCTAATGTCTTCCTTCGTTTGTATCATCTCTACTCTCATTTGAGTGGGTTTTTGCTCAATCTCTTGAATTAGTTATCTGAACCGTTTTTCCTTTTCCATTGGTTTGAGAGACTGATTAGATACTGATTATCAATGCAAGCCATAACAATAGAATAAGTTTTGTAGTAACCTTAAATCATTTGATAGAAGAGAACTATACACTGAGGTCCCTTTTCATAGCAGTATTAGGGCATTACAATAAGGTTTTTTATGCTCAAATAACTTGACACTTATTCTTTCTCATATAACTTTTTTTTAACTCTTCTAACAAAGTACTATTTTTTAATAGTTTGCTAACACTTCCTTTGTGTATCAGCTTGTGATTGACTTTTGGAGCAGCTCTGTGCGTATTTATTTTATTCTAATTGTCTATCATTTGCTATATGTGATGTAGACCGGGTCGACTAGAAGTACAGATTGAGATAAGCCTTCCTGATGAAAATGGCCGATTGCAAATTCTTCAAACTCATACTAACAAGATGAAAGAGAACTCTTTCCTCACTTCTGATGTGAATCTTCAAGAGCTTGGTATGTGATTAGTTTTACATTACTACTTATTTGATGAAATTAACCAATTAATTACATGCTTGAACCGCAAGCTTGCATTAGCAAAATGATTTTCTTGAGGGATATTTAACCTTTTTTCTTATAATATTTAATGAGATTTGGTTGAGGGTTTAGGTTGTTGATAGAACACAATGACGTTGTGCAATCCATATAACCAACCTGCTTGTCTTATAATATTTTATGACCAGTTTCTTTAGATGTTCTCTAAGGGAGAGTTTGGCATGTTAAAAACATTACATTGTTGCTAGCTTGTTAACCATCAATGTCAATATTTATATATGGGAAAATTAACCTTTTAGTCTTTCAACTTTTAATTCACTTATAATTTAGTCCTTCAACTATGACTAGGTGTGACTCAGTTTTTGAACTTCTAACTCACTTATAACTCAGTCTCTTATCTTTTTATTTTTTATATTATGATACTTGTCATCTATAACTCATCTTACATGGCAAAAGTTTACCTCCAACTCAGCTCCACGTGGCATGCAATCTTGCCTCGCCAACTCCTTCGCATATTCTGTTCGTACTCTGCTTTTCAATCCAGTGAAGAAACAGAGTAGGAGGAATTGCAAAAGGAAGGAGCAGTGGAAGATGAAGAAATTGACTTTATGGGTTAGCCTGAAGCGGCTTGTTATTGATTCTCGGCTTGACGCTAGGCGAGCTTCAGTGCAAGCTTTGGCAAATTAGCCTATGGAGGTCGCTGACCCTGAGAATCATGAAACAATGGAGAATTAAAAAAATAACTAATTTCTTCAAAATATCTCTTCTTTACTAAAATGGATTTCATAACCTTCGGAATCATAGTCGCCATTACTATTCTCTTCTTACCATAAGTTGTTAAATTACCATCCAAGCCACTTGCAAAAGTGGTTCTCAGCTCACCTCCTACTTTCACTTACGTGGACAAGATCTCTTTTGGTTCGAGGGCTTTTTTTTTTTTCAACTCAAAATCCAGTTGGCTTATGTGGGGGTGCATTGATTTCATGGCACCGAGTAGAAAGCAGATTCAATGGGCATTGCTTACTGTTTTAGTTGTTGGCTTTTGCTTGGATCTGGGAATTGGATGCAAGTTCATTCTGAGAAAACTAATATAGAGCGTGCGAAGGAGATGGAGAAGTAAGATTACATGCCATGTGGAGCTGAGTTGGAGGTAAACTTTTGCGTGGGGGATGAGTTATAGATGACAAGGATCATAATGTAAAAAATAGAAAGATAAGGGATTGAGTTATAGGCGAGTCAAAATTTTAAAGACTGAGTCGCACTGAGTCGTAGTTGAGGGACTGAGTCATGAGTAAGTCAGAAGTTGAAGGACTAAGAGATTAATTTTTCCTTTATGTATAATGCATAGAAAACTATACTATTCGTAAATCATGAACATTGCTGTTCATTTATTAGACTCTATACAATACATGTGACCCATACCCTTTTTTTAGATATACCATATGACCCATATCTAGTTTTATGTAAATTTCAGTTGATTTCAAATTATACTTTGTCTAAAATTTGCTTTTAAATTAGTTTTAACTTTCAATACCAAATATTGGTTGATGAAAGTGGGTAAGTTTTTTTGGAATGTAGAGTGGAGTGCATGTGTGCCTGTGTATATACGAGTAAAATTTCCTAGCCTCTCTCGTTTTGCCTTAATTACACGGACCTTTCATCTATTTTTAAAAATATATACTTTAGTCCAAACCAATAATTCTGTTAAGAATATTCTCAAAAATATTTTTTAATTAAGTTTTTATATTAAAATAAATTTTATTTATTAATTTACCCATCATCTTACTAGATTCCTAATTTTGGCTAAAATTGTTTTTGATAAGTTTAAGAGTTTTCTTTTCTGTTTCCGTAATTTTAATTTTTAATTCTATGTTTGTTCAATGTTTTCATCATACCAGAACATAAGCTTAAGTAATTTAGTTAATGTGGACATAAAAAACTTGGTTAAAAATTTGATTAATCCTTTTAGTAAATATATACTTGACTAAATGTGTTACGAAATGTTTTCACCAAAAAATGTGTTTAAAAATTTTAAATCATAAATTTAAATGTTTTGTATAATCTCTCAAACTTGCATCATTTATATTATATTATGCGTTTGAAATAGGTTCTTATCCATTTAAAAGAAACCTAAATAAATAAGTTTTAATGAATGTAATGAAAAATTAAAATTATACAATTTTATAACACAATCAAAGTTAATGAAGTTTACAAAATATTAGAATGTATGAAAATATATGTATTAGAATTATTTTTTTGGTTGTATGGAAATTATTTTTTTTGGCAAATCTAAATTTTTAAGCAATTATTATGCTATAGAGGGATATTTTGGTCAAAAAGGAAGATTCAAACTTAACACTCGACTAATGGTTTGGTGGATGGAAATGAAATCTCAAATATAAAAAGAAGATTTGTGCAATATACATTTTAATTTATAGGAGGTTTACATACATTTTCAAAATTTAGAAGCTTTTGTAATTTAGGTAAAATAGCTGGGTTGTTAGTGTAATTTAGTAATTTACTCTCTCTCTCTCTCTCTGTATACACACACACAAAGAGCGAGGGAGAGGGAGAGAGGAGACATATGAAAACTTTTGATTCAAATATTAGTTGATTCAGTAAAAGCCGCCTTTGTATAGAATCGATTTTCCAGGAATTTTCAAGTTAAAGTTATTTAAAACCAAATGCTTCAATTGTTGAATAAATGCCTAAGACTGTTTTTATTTTTATCACAAACATACGCCTGTAGAAATGACCCTTTTGTGCTAGGAGGGGACTGTTACTGTTAGAATATCGCATTAGTCTGCTTTCATTCTTTGTTTGGTTAGATTATAGAAATCCCACTACCACAAATGTTTAACATGCGCCTCCTATGAAGAAAAACTGAATAGGATGTTATTCATAATCACAAATCAGTTATTCTGATGAGGTTTCCATTGATTCGTGGAAATACTAGAGAAACAAAAAACACTTTTGATGTCAGAATGCATAAATCATTTCGTCTAGACAAGAAATAATCAAGTGATATGAACTGAAACTGACTTGATGAATCTATCATTGGATGTCATGTGAATTTGCTTGTTATTGTCTTGTGTAGCTGCCCGAACAAAAAATTACAGCGGTGCAGAACTTGAAGGTGTGGTGAAAAGTGCAGTCTCATTTGCTTTAAATAGACAACTAAGTCTAGATGATCTCACCAAGCAAGTTGAGGAAGAAAATATCAAGGTAACGATGGAGGACTTTTTGAATGCACTCCAAGAAGTTGTTCCCGCATTTGGAGCTTCCACTGATAACCTTCAAAGATGCAGGTAATGATTTTAATTACAAGACTTTAGAGTTCTTAGAAATGGGCATATTAGTGTTATTATATTTACTAACGATGAAAATATGTGATTATTTTAATTCTAACCCGTTACTTGTCCATACATTTTACATATATTGAGTGTAGCTATGAGAAATAAGTTGTTGGGCTGTATGATTTGAATAATATGGCAGCGTGGTTCCTCAGCGAGAATGACAGTATATTACTGATTTTTCTTTGCCAGTTTGTTTTAGATTTTTTAGTTGAAAATGTTTAGGGAAAAGGCGATTCTTGAGCAGTGATATTTTGGGATTGTTATTTTGCCTTTCTAGAGTCAAGTTGCTACTGTCATGATATGTCAATAAGATTGTAGGATGATATACAAGATTTAACATCTCCCACCTTCTCTGAAGCATTGATAAATATGTTGCTTCATTTGGATGTGGACTCTACTTCCTCTTTTTCTTTTTTCCCCCCTCTTCATTTGGATGTGCAAACCTTGCACTTTCTTTGAATGTGGAACACCAAATAACGTTATGACTTGAAAGGTTCTGGGATGATACTTTATGTAACTCAGTTGGATAGTTTTACTTGTATTTTTACACCTCAGATGTTTCATTGATGTTTTAGTTATTTCCAAACTGTATTTAATAATATATTGAAATTCGAAGATTTGTTCACCAATATTGCTGTTTAAATTTAGACATATTCGCAGCCTAGAAACTCATTTTGTCATTTGATTTCTAGAGTCCATGGCATTGTAGACTGTGGTGATCGGCATAAGCACATTTATCAAAGGGCTATGTTAGTAGCAGAGCAAGTGAAAGTGAGTAGAGGAAGCCCACTTATCACCTGTCTTCTTGAGGGTACTAGTGGCAGGCATGTGAATTTATATCTTCATTTGCATCTGCTACGGTTATTTCTTCATTTGCCATTGCTAATGGAAAGTTTCTGAATATACCCTGCTTGTTACAGTGGCAAAACAGCACTTGCAGCTACTGTTGGTGTTGACAGTGATTTCCCATATGTGAAAATAGTAAGTTTTCTCCTTTTATAGAGATGTCCACTTAAAATTAAGTTTAACTTGTTTCTGATTTTGATCTTCTGTACTATAATTGGTCAGGTTTCTGCTGAATCAATGATTGGATTACATGAGAGCACTAAATGTGCACAGATTATCAAGGTTTACCATGAATGTGATATGGATTATGGAGTCTTGTGGTGTCTATTGAGTTCATATAATTTCTCAAAAATTAAGCACTTCCTGTAATAGAAAGCTTCTCTAATCTTTCTTCAACTTTTGTTTTATACTTGTCCTATTTGATTTATCTCTGGGACGTTATATCTTCAAAAGTGATTTAGGTTTGTAATGCCTAGCTGGTTTTTTAAAATAATAAATTCAAATTCCTTCTGTTTGTCCACGCAGGTGTTCGAAGATGCATACAAGTCACCATTGAGTGTCATTGTTCTTGATGACATTGAGAGGCAAACGTTTTAACCATTCTTTTACATGCATAATAATGTCCCCCCCTCCCCCGGGGTAAGTGTGTGACATTGGTTCAGTATTTATGCAGGTTATTGCAGTATGTGCCCATTGGTCCGCAGTTTTCAAATTTAATTTCACAGACATTATTGGTCTTTCTTAAACGGCTTCCTCCAAAGGTTTCTATTTATCCTTGACTTATTTAGGGATAGCAAGGGGAGGAAAGGGATGCTAGCGAAGTTAGAAAGAATAATATGGGCGGGATCACTGACTTACTTGGCCAGGTTTTTTGCTTTTCTTTATAATAATAAATTAGGTTGAGAACAAGGCCATTACAAGTGCAGGTACAACCACAATTTGTACTAGCCTAGCTTAATAGTGAAGAATGGGAAGAGGATATTAGGGCATGATATGGTCAATGATGATGCTGGGGATTATCATATATTAGGAATAAAGCTATCAGTCAAGGCCAGATTTAGGGCATGGTGGGAAGCTGGTGAAGACTTAATTTTGGCGTGGGAACTTATGAGATTCCTGGAAAATAACAATCTAAAAGGAATGCCGGACAATTATTTTGTAAGAATATCTACCAATTGGTTACCAAGAGGGACAAAGGGAGTGCAAATTAGACCTCTTTCCAGCTTCTTTTCGATAAAGTGCGGTTAACTTCAATGTGCTTTGTTCAGTCATGTTGAACTGGATTGTGAACAATATTGATAGTTGACTTGTCACAATAAAGTTTCATTCGGCCTTCCCATTTGACATTCAAGTCATTTAAAATTATCTTTATCCGTAACAACTTGCATATCCTTGGTGAAATGGCTCTATACTTGGTCTATGCCTAGATCTAACCACCATATTCTACTTCTTGCTTCTCCAAGTGATGAGATATGTGCCAAGAAAAGTACACTAGCTTGTTGTAGATCTCGTATCATCTAGAAATTTGGTATGATCTGCATCAGTGTATGGCTCAAGTGTCAACATTTCACCTAATTTAAATAAGAGTTAAGGTGTAATTTTAACAACAAAGTTTATCCTAAGAGGTATTAGGTACCATAAAGTTTATTTAGGTACAAAAATATACACGAAGTTATCAAAAGGGGGCATCTGGCACCACGCCGTTAATGTCCGTTAGTTTACCGTTAGAGAGGCCCATGAAGTTAGTTTTAAGTTATATTTTTAACAACAAAGTTTAACCTAAGGGACATTAGGCACCATGAAGTTTTCTTCAGTGCAAAAATATACATGACCTTTCTAAAAGGGAAAAAAATAACAAAATTCTCATACTCCTATAAATGTCCATTAATTTTTTTTTGGGTCCCACTAAATATCATTTTTTTTCTCTACTCATTCCTACTTCTCCTTCTCCTTAGTACAATGGACAAATTTGGAAAAAAAAAATTAAAGAAATAAAACAATTACTTAAATATAGCATATAGTATATGATCTCTCTAAAATATTTATACATATCGTTTGATTATATATTAGTTTATAAGCTAAGCAAATTAATTTGGAGAAAAATGATATATATAATACTTTAAAGTAATTTATTTAACTTTTTTTAATCTTCTCAAATTAGTTTATTACGTCCTATATTAAGGACTAGAAGTAGTACTTGGGTACAAACAATGAACCTCATATCTTAGAAGAGAAAGGTGTTGTTCTGTGTAAATACATATAAAAGACTTGGAGGCTGAGAAAATAACATGACAAAAAGAGTGTGCGTGTTGACTATGATGAGAGAAAGATGGATCGACTTGGAAGTGGAAATGGAGGAAGAGAAAATGTAGCATTTGGTGGGACCCAAAAGAATTAAATTAATAAACGTTTATGGAAGTTAAAGAATTTTGTTATTTTTTTCTTTTTAGAAAGTTCATGTGTATTTTTGCATCCAAGTAAACTTCATGGGCACCTTGATGTAAACTTTGTTGTTAAAAATGTACCTTAAAACTGATTTCGTGGTCCCCTCTGACAGTAAACTAACGGATGTTAACAACCTGGTACCAAGTGCCCCCTTTTGACAACTTCGTATATAGTTTTGCACCCAAGTAAACATTATGGTGCCCAGTGCCCCTTAGGGTGAACTTTGCTGTTAAAATTGCACTTTAACCCTTTAAATAAAATTCTTTTTTCTAGAGTGCCAAGTATTGAAGTATTCAATGCAGTGCTGTTAAATGTGACCCTTTAGGATTGAGCATAATAGGCCCGTCACACTCATTGCATATGCCATGTTAGGTCTAGTGCCCAAGATATAAAAGTTTTCCAAAAGCTTCTGATAAGACTCTTTGTCAATAGTATTATTTCTTAGAGATTTACAAAGTCTATGATTTTGTTTTATTGGTGTGTCCACTAGTTTACAACAACCTGCTTTCCCTCTTCTAGGAGATCAAGGATATGTGAGTTGAGATATAAAGATGCCATGCTTGGAGTGACCAACTTCTATGCTCAATAAGTATTTGAACCTTCCTAAATCTTTGATTTCAAATTCTTTTGCCACTTGTCTTCATAGAGAGGTGATTCCCTCCAAGTCCTCTCATGTGATTGATATCATCAATATAGAGATAAGTATTATTGTTACTTCCCTTGAAATTGGGTGTTTGATGAAGAGTTGTGATCATCTTCTCTCCACTTGTATCCTATGCTAGCCATTAGGACTGCACATAGATAGGGCTGGGCGGGGCATGACTCTTGCCTGATGCCCAGCTTAAATGATCAATAGGCTGCATTTTGGAGCCCGCTGCTTAGCCCTGCTTGGTGAAAGCTCAAGTTATTCATGGCTGGGCAAGGCAGGGTAGGGCAGGGAAAGTGATGATGCACTGATGCGTTGTTCATATTATGTGAAGGTTTTCACGAAACCTAATAAATAATATTTTGATTTTTAAATGTATTTTATAATTTCACAATTTAGAATATTTTAAGAGAAGAAATATAAACAATACACTACAAATTTATATATCTATTTATCATTTTATATCTCCTTATAATTATTATATAATCAAACACAACATGATAGGTTTTCAAACAAAATCCATAATCAAATATATCAACAATTTAAATCTTAAAATATATAATTCGGTCATATATGAATATTACATGTGTGTTTATATATTAAATATAATTATATATAATGAATATATGTATATTATATATTAAATATAATTATATATACTCTGGCCAGGGTAGCATACCTTGCCCTGCCTGATATTTGGCCGTACTTGAAAATTCCTCTTTATTGTTTGGGCTGCTTTTTCAAAGCCTAGTTGGGCATAATTTCACCAAGCTCAAGTGGGCATTGCAGTCTTTTGAGCCTCATGAACACTCTTACTAGCCTTATAGCAGCAAGGACAACAAGCTTATTCCACTAAGTGAGAGAGGCTACATAGATAGTATGACATGATTATGCTCTATCAACAACCAGATCTTTAGATATGTTGTTAACCAAAAAGTCATGTTCAATGACCTTTTTGAGCATCCTCCTCGGTCTTCCTTTGCCCCTTTTAAAAAGACTCCAAATTGTTTGATCTACCCTCTTCATTGGCATCTCTAATAGCCTTCTCTGCACATGCCCAAATCACCTCAAATGATGTTCAATTATTTTCTCTTTGATGGATGCTACACCTACTCTTGCTCTGATATTATCATTTCGTAAATCTACCACTGCTTTCATAAATCTACCAACAATGCCCTTGCCATATGTTTCAAGCCATAGAGTGCTTTTCCAAGTTTGGAGCCAAAACCAAGTGGAACCTCCATATGTATCTCCCATAAATTATCCTGCGAAATGGTATTTTTCACATCAAATTGCAGTAAATTTTCATTTGTGATTAGTAACCAAAGATAGCAGAGCATCCTCCCAAACTTCATACCGTTTTAAGGGTGCTGTTAGAGTGATATTTGGCAGTGGAGACCCATCTACATCCGGTGGGCTTCTTTCCCTTCGATAATTGAACTTGATCCTGTGTTTTGGTATTCTCCAGTGCTTTTATTGCAACCTTCTTTTCTTTGACCCTATTATCACCACCTAATGTCTCTGATAAAGTTTTAGGTAGTGGAATGGCCTGTAGATTGGTGAGAAATGTTCTGTGGCTGCAAGAGAACTTCTTGTGAGAACTACAATGGATATAAAGGTCATTTAATACACCTTTGAGTTCCTTTTCTGAGGAGAATCAAGAGGAGAAGTGGTAGTTGCCTCAATATTTTCAGGAGTGGGTTCAAATGATTGCATGGGTGCAGGATTAGATGATTGAACCCGCACTAGTTGAGATGCCTTCTCTTTGAGAGAACATGATGTGGACAAGTGGTGGTTGAGAGTTGGTTGAGCTTTTGATGAGTCACATGATGAAGTTGGAAGTCAGTAAGGAAGAGGTCATTGCCCAGATCATCACTAAGAGAACCCTCCTTTTGAAGAGGAGAATTGAAATAAGGTTCAGATTGATCAAAGGTGCAGCGGCTAAAACAAAGATGTTTTTGAAAAGGATGATGACAATATTTGTACCCTTTTTAGGTGGAGGAATACCTAACAAACACACATGTGAGAGCCTAAGGATCAAGTTTGGTCCTTTGTTGAGAATGCACTTGCACAAATGCAACACACCCAAATATTCTAGGAATGAGATATTCAAATTTGGGAACATTGGTGAGATTTTGTATAGGGCTCTTAGATCTAAGCACCCGGATAGGAAATCTGTTAATAATATGCGCAATATATCTTATTGTTAGAATGGCTGGCCCCTGATAGTGTTTTGGAACATTGTCCTATGCATCAAAGAAGGACGACTAAGACCATGGTGATGAAGGTAAATCTGATCTTTATTTGAGCTGACGTTTTTGGGCTGAAAGGAGGAAGACAATAAACTCTGAACTTTACTACTTCTTCCATTGTGTTCTTCAAGATGGTAAAGCCCATAATAGCCAATTAGAGACATAACAGACTCCTGTATGAAACTGCCATAACTACTTGGAACTAAAATTACCTTGGGAATTGACAAAGCCCTTGTGGCTTGAAGGCTCTTCTCCTGTTTGGTTGGAGGGGAATAGAAGGAAGGGAAAATTCTAATGAATTCGATTTTTAAAAAAATGAATCAGTGAGGTTATAAAATTTTAATAAAGAGAATGTATAAGATAAAAGAGTAGGGAAAATTACTGAAAACTCTTAGCCCCACTTCTCTAGGCTTCAATCCATGGCTACAAGGGTTAAGCTTCCCAAATTACCCCCCCCCCCCAAAAAAAAAAAACTTGGGAACTATCCCGACTACTTTACAAATAGTCTATTTAACATTGAAAGAGACACTTCCTCCTTCAAAAAAAAAATCCTTCTTCCTGGACGCATTTGCACAATTCTTTATTTAACTCTGCGCTTGAATAAGCACTTCCCACTGTCAAGCTTTATCTCTTGGAATTGAGGAAACGGAATTGGTCTGATAGATTTACCCAAGTTGTAATTCACGTGAAATGAAGATAGACATCCAAGGTTCTTTATATGGCTGCCATACAAATATTATTTGATATCACAGCAGGCACTATCAACCCCATAAAAGTTGGCCCCTATTTTGCTATAAAATTTTAATTCGAACATTAAACCATAACACCATATTGCAACAATCAATTCTGCAAGGACCTTGACAAATTCTACCTGAAAAATGTGCTCATGAAAGAATGACTATAATTGAAGAAGCAGTACTGATTCAAAATTACATCCAATTACAACACCCTTACTCAGACCAAAACTCCCTTGCAAACGCACAATGATGCAAAGGCCATTGAGATGCCTCTGTTACAAAATTATAACCGCACAGATGTTAGAAATAACTGATACAGCAAAGTTATGAAATACAGTTTCAGAACACTGGCAAAGAAGATGGGCAGAAGGACTTCTTATGACACAAACACACACTACCAACAAAACAATTAAGAAGTAGAACTTCAAGAATATTACTGGCTTGCCGACTTTGAGAGGTTATCTCTCTCCAACATCATCTGACAAAATTTCTCCTCAGCTTTTCTCTTTATCTACCGGTCAACAATTCTTTAACTACTCCCTTCTGCCTCTTCATCACTCTCCTCCCCTTTTCTGGCCTTTTTGTATATCAACTTTTGGATCCTTTATTTGCTTATTAATCGTACAATCCCTTATGTTTCCTTTTGTGAATTTTGGTGGCAAAAATGAGTTGGGACCCATCAAATTCTCAGCATCAAGTTCTCTTAAATTATAGACACTACCTTTATAGACTGGTATTCAATAAATGAACGAGAAACCTTTCTGAAGTACATGAAGGGAACCCTTGTCTTTTAGTTTATTGGTTCTTTCAGGGTGGTAGTTGGCTAGGGCTGGGATTCATGCTGGTCCCATTGACACCATGTAAAGCAAGTGGTGTGATCAACAGTTGGAAAGAAAAGGAAGGGATACTATTCAAAATATACTACTGACATAATAATCGTATACATAACACTGAAATTGACTTTTTTATGGTGATACTATAACCACACAAAGACACTTAAATCCTTTACTTTGGGGGTGCTTCAAACTGACTTTGCTAAAATGTCAGTACCTCTTAAGGTTTTTCATGATTGTTAGTGCCTTTTAATTCTGGCTACCATTTTCTTGTCAGACCCGTACTGTCCAATTTACCATTTGAACTCAGTTTTGAATCATACCCGTCAAGTGTTGATTAAGTCAATTTTAACTTTCTGTTGCTCTTATATAAACCATATTGCCAGGGTAAAACACTGCTGGTTATTGGTACGACAAGTGAGTTGGTTTTCTTGGACTCAATTGGATTTTGTGACACTTTCTCTGTTACTTACCATGTTCCTACGTTGAGCACAAATGATGCAAAGAAGGTATACAATTTTTGTTGTTGACGTTGTAATGTTTTATCGTTTCTCTTAACTACTTACACGGTACTGATAATGCATTATGAAGGTTTCTGTTTTAGAAAATTTAACCTGTTCTTTGTCATGGTTTTACGATATCATTTTCTGTTGTCAAAAGAAAATCAGTGGCTTGATTTAAAGGATGATTTATGTTGAATTTTGTTCTTTTTCTCAACAAATGGCAACATATGCTTTTGTACTAGTCAACATATGCTTGCGTGAATGACTTGAGGTGTATCATAAATTAAAAAGGCCAAATATTATAGCGTTTTTATATTACTGTAACTTGACCATAGTTTGTGATTTTCTCTTTTTACTACTTAATTCAGGTGCTACGGCAGCTGAATGTTTTTGCCGATGAAGATATGGATGCCGCAGCAGAGGCCTTGAATGATGTAAGCTTAATCACCTCTTTGCTCTCCATCGGCTCAATGATCTCTTATTTTGCTTGACGGCAGGAGAAATCCAATTATTTTGTATTACAATGAAGCAAAAGCTTCACCTTTGTTACCAATTCTGCTTTATTAGAAGAACGGGACATTTGGAAGTTTGGAATTTTCTTTTGATTTTTTTCTCTTTAGCCGCAAATGGAGTCCTTTTGCTTGTTGCTCTCTTTTCTTTTGTTCCCCCCCGGGGGCATACTTGTTTTGGCACTGTCTCCAACCCTGCTTATGCTCCATTTGTATTTTCTTAGATGCCTATCAAGAAGCTATACATGTTGATTGAGATGGCTGCCCAAGGAGAGCATGGTGGATCTGCAGAAGCCATATATTCTGGCAAAGAGAAGATTCAGATCTCTCACTTCTATGACTGCCTCCAGGATGTTGTTCGTATATAATTTTCCTGATGTGCCTTTACAGAGCAGAATGGATCTTTAGAAGCAACAGGGAAGAAGAAAAATTAACATCTCGGACGTATGATTGCCTTCAGACCAACACATTCTTATCGGGCTCACAATTTGGAAGTTTAGTGATATCTTCATGGTGTCGTAATCTTCTCCTTTTTTATTTTCTTTTGTATAGTTATGCATTATTATGTTTAAATTTAATGTTTAATCTTTTCAAATGTGTGCTATCCGTGTGCTGCCAATATGGTAGTCACTTCCACCAACTGATTTCAATATTGGTAGTGATGCTTACATAGAGGAATGTGATCAAACTCTCCAGACAAGGAATTTCACTATAGCATGCGGATAAGTAACAGGAAGATTCGCTTGGAACCATAAGCGTTTGTGTCCCAAGGAACCATTTGAAGGGGGGAAAAAACTGCATCCAATCTCTGAAGATACAAGTAAAAAAAATATACTTCTGCTATTTGTAAGCTAGATAAAGAATTTTTTTAATTTTACTTATAAGTTATCATTAAATCTTTTTTATATGAATGTATAATTAGTATTATTTATTTATTATGTAAGCTTTGTACTTTTGGAATAGAGTGTATATTTTATATCTCAATTGGCACCTCATGTCTCCTCGCATAGAGGAGGTCATGGATTCTATACCCCACATGGCTGAGTGGGGGTGTATGGGTCTCCTCTTTCTACGAAGGAGGGGGTTTAAATTCGAAAAAAATATGGTTAAAATCTAAAAGTGATTAAAGTTTAAAATATAATTAATGAAATTTAAGTTTTTTTTTAAGTTTTGATATAACATGTTAAAAGTGACTCGCAAATAATATTAGAGTATTTCATTTCTTATTTACAAATAACTATCAACTAATTTAAATAAAGAAAATTAGCTAAATCAATTGCTGTACTTATAATTATTAATTTTTTGAAAATTGTGTTTAAAGGAATGCAATAAATTTTATGCCCAATTATATTAATCTCTCTCAATCTTTATCCATCATAAGCAGACAATATCCATATTAAGGCATTATTTTGAAAACAAAAATAATTGCTTGATAGATTTTACAAAGTGACTTATAAACGGGAATATAAAGAGTTGTTAGAAAGTTGACTTATTAATAAAGTGTTGTTAATCTCATTTTGATTAGTAGAAAAAGTTTATTCTATATCAATTGGTATCAGAACCTAATTTGTTTTACATCATAAAGCATGACATATATATGATGTCTTTTTCCATTGATTATTTTTACTTGTAATTAACTCATTGATATCTTCTAAAAGTACCATTACTCTATTTTCCAAATTAACACCACTTAAAACAACTTTTTTTAAGGAGTAAACTTCTTGAAGTGAATAACAAAATTGTATGACATAGCTGAACTTAGATAATTTTTTAATACATGATTTTTTATAGAAAACTCTTAATTTAAGCATTAAACTCTTCACTATCACATCTATTAATTTTGGGATGCAGTTTATTAACTTAAGAAACTATAGATGGGTCATTTTAGATGTTGCTAACAATAACATTTTCAAATTATCTATATTAGATAAATTCAAACATTCAAGATTGAAAAACTATTCCAAGTCACATAGTGTTTCAGTTATGGCAAGAAAAAAAAGGTCTAACTCTGTTAGTAGTATAGCAAGTTTACTAAAACTGATAATGTAGCTCAATTTGTTTACATCTCGAAAGTAATAATACAAATGAGACTTTTCAAGTTTGATACAGACTTACGCAAATGATTGATGTTAGTCTAAGTAAAATAAAATATTTTAGGAGTATGCATGTTGCTGTAAAAACCATCTAGGTTCCATTTGAGATAATAATTATAATCTAAAAACAATGTGAAAAGTTTAGAGTAATTAGATGTGTCATCATTTTCCATTTAAGATTTTCTTTCTGATTTTCATTCTTTAACAATTCTATCAAATTCATGCAAGTTTATGCCATATTTTCTTTCATCTCCTTGAGTACCCTCTCTTTCACTTCTCTTCCCTCCCTCTTACCTTCCCCATTTTATTGGATCATTTGGTATCAGAGCTTAGCTCATCCTATATTAATTGGTATCAGAAATGTGTTTGTCTTACATCAATTAATATCAAAGTCTAATTTATCCTCCAGCATAAAAATGATGATAAATTCATATTTTAACAAGTAATTATATTTTATTTTGAGAATTGTTATCAATTCAAATGCGCTAATTTGTATTTAATGTGATTAGTTTGAATTAAATATTGATTGCATCAAAATATAGTTTAAAAAGAAAATTTTGTCATAATTTTATATTTGCTTTTAAATATTTGATTTTGGGTCTTTATGATATTATATCATCTCAATTTATTTTGTAGGTCTTAAAAAAAGAATTGAAAAACTGGAATAAAAGTAAATAAAAAAAAAGATAAATAAAGCAAATCAATCAAAACACACCATTTTTAGGGGAAAAAAATTAGGGTATTACTTTTAATTTCATCATGCTACACAAAAAGAGAACCAAGCTGGTACTAATTTTCAATCCTCAGCATATTCTGTCTTCTCTCTTAGCAAGAAAGAAGACGAGCCTTTATCTCCTCACCACGCTGCTCCCTACCTCTCCATTAGCATAATTATTTTCTCTTTTAACTAATAGCGTCCTTTACCACCACTTTTGGCCTTCACTGGTTTTTGTTTAATTGCATAAATTCTTCCATACCCAGTTGTTCAACTTGGCTTCTATGGACTCCTTGTACTTCAAACATGTTGTGGATGCTTTTAGAGCCACGAGAGGCTAATATCATTATGTTTCTTGGAGATGGATGAGTAGCTTGAGCTTGGAATTTCAATTATAAGAATATTTAATTTCCAGTTATTTCTCTCGAGCTTGTTGGATTTTTCCTATATTAGGAATCTTGTTATTTATTGAGATTATATATTATAATTTTTGTCAGTTAGGTATTTGCAGTTGCATTGAAATTGTTTTATTTGGCATATTGTTGAATTGTACTGCATTTGGATGTCTCTGTGAGCATTCATTATTAGGAAAACAAATTTTATTAACTTAATTTAAATTGCATATCAAATAGTTTTCGAAGGTGCTTTAATAATTAATTATTATTTAACGTTTAGAGTAATCAATTGTTAAGTTCACTTGACTCAAATCATGTTTGGGATTATATTTTGATTTGGTACATTTTTAACTCCTCTTTTTTTTTTTTTAATAATCAAGCAAGGATAGCTGTCATTTTCAAGAAGCATTGTCATCATTAATTTCCTTAGATCCAAATTTACGTTTTTATTCTCTATTTTATTAAGAAGACAAAAAATTGTAGTTTAGATTTATTTTAGGGAAAATTAATCTTTTGGTCCCTGTAGTTTTTACTCATTTGTAACTTAATCCCTATACTTTGGCTCGGTGCAACTCAATCCCTCTAGTTTTAACTCGGTTGTAACTCAGTCATTGAAGTTTGATTCGCTACAACTCGGTCCCTATAGTTTTATCTATTTTATAATTTAGTCCTTGTGTTTTTTAAAAATAAAATTATATATATAATAAAAGGAGGGACTAAATTATAAAATGGTTAAAACTATAGGGATCGAGTTGCAGCGAGTCAAACTTCAAGGACTGAGTTACAACTAAGTAAAAACTAAAGGGACTGAGTTGCACCGAGTCAAAGTATAGGGACTGAGTTATAAATGAGTAAAAACTATAGGGACCAAAAGATTAATTTTCCCTTTATTTTATTATTTTCTTAATTATTTTTATTAAAAGAAAATCTTTTTTCAAACTCATTTTTAATGCTTTTGTCACTTAATTAACTTAAAAATTAATAAAAGGTTATTTAAAAGACATGATCTGAGTTGTGCTATGCTACATAATTTAGTTTTTTTAAAAAAATTTAATTCCAAGATGACTAAAGGAGCTTAAATCACACAACTTAAGTACGTTTGTTCATGTCTAATGATCACTATTATAATGAACTCATTGATATCTTATAGAAGTGTCACTGCTTTGTTAGCCCAATCAATACCGCTTAAGACAACACTTTTTAAGGATAGGCATCAAGCGAATGCACAAAAGAGACATAATGATATGACAGATGAATTTGGGCAATTATTTTTTGAATACATAACCTTTGTCCAGAATGCTCTTAAATTAGCATAGGCGTTAAACTCTTCATTGTCACAAAAGTTGATTGAAATGACTCCCAACTTTCTCAAACATGGTAGATTTTTTACACTTACATCTATTGATTTTGAAATGTAGTTCATCAACCCTAAAGACTGTATATTGGTCATTTTGGATATTGATGATGATGGCAATTTCAAATGATCTGTACCAAATAAATTCAAACATTTAATATTGACCAAACAATTCGATTCCACAAGGTGCTTAAGCGATGACACAGTAACTTAAGGGTCAACTTTATTTATAGTAGAAATTTCTCTAAAGAAGGTATGCAACTTAAATTTTTTACATCCTAAAAGTAATGATGCAATAAGGCATTCCAAGTTTGATACAGATTTGGGCAAACACTTAATATTGGTTCAAGATAAATTATTTTAAGATAGGTATGCTGCTGAAAAAATTATTTGGGATAGATTTTAGATTATAGTTACAATCTAAAACCAACGTAAAAATTTTACAGTAGTAGGGGATGCGTCATCAACAATTTTCCATATGTCACTCAGTTAGAAAAATCTATACATCTGAAAATGAAGAAATTAGTACACATAAAAGCTGCAATAAGTATTTCAATGATTTTCATTAAAAAAAAAAAGTAAGTTTTCCATGTCAATTGACATCAAAATCCAATCCCAATGTCATATAGGCAAAATTCACATAAAACAATCCCTAACATACTCTAACCTATAAAAGTATCCAATACATTGTCAAAATAATGTCTCTAACTCAAGAGAACAATACACATATCATCCATTGCAGTTTCAAAGAACTAAAAATCCAAAGAAGAGACAACTCGGTATGTGGCGCGAAGAATGCTAAAAAAGCAAAGAAAGAAAAAATTACAATGGTGACAGCAATGACGGCAGGGACAAAGAACCATGATGGGGATGTCAGAAACGTGGGAGAAACACTGTGATGAGAGGAGGAGGAAGTTTGGAGTGAGGCACAATGGTAGACCATGACAACGAAAGATGTAACACAGTAATCTCCCGTTTGGTAGAAGTATTGAAAATGAGAAGTAGGGATTGTGATGGCAATTGAAAAAATTATTAAAATAGTATTTAGTAGGGGTAATTGCTTGTTGTATAGGATTAGGAAAACCCATAGAGGTACGATTGGGGAATACCACTTTCCCCATGGTATTTTCCAATTCCACATATATGAGTTTGACTAATCCCATCTAAAAAGTAATCTCTTATGCTAGGTACTTTTTTAATAAATTTTTTGAATCCCAATCCCTAATTTTCAATGCTTC